TCTTCTGAGGAGATAAATCCTGCCAAGTTTCAGATGATTAAAGTTTAAGGATTTTATATTGGTATTCAACAACAAAACCAAACCAAATATTGGTGTTCTGGTTAATGAAAAATGCTGCCTTAAAAGGCTGATAAATGGCGAAAAAATAGCCCTGCTTCATAGTAAATTTGTATTTAATAAATTTACATTTAATGGCATGATGTGGTACTCTTCATTTTCTTCCTCTTTGACTCACTAGAGACATCTGCATCTGTTACAAAAAACAGGTTGGGATGCAGCCATTGGTCTAATGAACTAGTCCTCACATGACCCTCGTGATGGTCTGAGTTTGAGATCTTCTGCAATGAGGCATGCTGCTCTATAGGCATTGAATGTGCTTATTATTTGCTTAACTGTGATGTGTCTTTATATTCTTGCATGATCAGAAATATAATCAGTCAGTGACATCAGCCTTAGCATTTTCTCACCAAACAGCTAATTATGCTTTTGACATTTTGGACTAATTTGAGCTTCAGTTATACCCTATGAGATCCATATTTGCTATGTATATTTCCTGGCCTTTCCTCAAAGAGCTTCAGAAAAGTGCTGTAGACTATATGATGATCCCATGACATTAATATGCTAGTAAAATTATTCTTCAATTATGTATTTTCTGATATATTTTGCAAGGTGGGTAATGTTGATTTCTAGTTTTAAGAGTTCTTACCCTTTTGATAAATTCCTACAATCCCTTGTCTTGATTCAGTTCAGACACAGATGAAATATATCATTCCTGACAAAAAAGCATACTCATCTACACTTCTTACAATCTGTAGAAATTATATATATATTATATAGTATAAAATAATAGTAATTTAATAATATGCAAATAAAAATGCTGCATTAGTACTGAGCCTATTTCTCAGTAATATGACATAGATTTCCTTTTTTGTTTTAATTCAGTGTTTTTGAAAATGGCTGGTTTTTCATTTACTGAGCACTTAACAACAGTTACAATGAATTTATTAAAAGGAGAGTACAGCAATCATAATCCCAAGCCTGCAGAACCATTAAAAGTAATGAAAAGACACAAGCAGATATGCGGAAAGTAAATTAACCATTCAGTCCGAATGGTCCAGAGGTTCCAAGCTTAAATTGTCCGGGGAATCTGCTGGAGAGATTCTACATCGGAATGTTCAAATATCATGCACTAAATGGGCAATCTTTTGTACTGTTCAGTTTTTAGATTAAAAGAAAACCTGTTTATTCGATAAAAAAATTACTTGATGATATGGAAGCTGACATTTCAAGTGCAGACTAGAAATTACATGCCTCAGACCAATAATACTTTCTGTAAGTAAAGTTATTTGCATGCCTCTGTCTTCACCCAATTGAAACCCCATCTCAGCATGATTTTAGGTATTTTCATTTTATATCTACCACATTTTTTTTCTTTTTGGTAATGCCTCTTTTGAGTGTCTCCCAGATGATTTAAAGCAAGACAATCAGAGAATTGTCTGCTTGAAGAAACATACTTCTTATTATAGTGCCGTACCACTGCTTCTTAGGTTAGCTTAGTCACTTACTTCCTTCTATTACAATGCCAAATGTTATTTAGATTTCAGTCATTTAGTAATGGTACACTGAACACATCAAGCCTTCTGAAAAATTCCATACCTAGTAGTTGTTTCATTTTCATAATAATATGATGATATCCTTTCTCCCATCTTCTCAAATTATACACACATTTTAAGCACTGTCTCTAACAGAGACAATTAAACAGTTAAAGAGATGATAATGCACTGAACACCAAACTTCAAAAACATATTTTTATGCTATTAAGATAAGAAATTCTAGTTAATGGTTCTTTAGGTATCTAAGAAGCTTTTTAAAAAGATGACAACTTTTTTTGCGATTTGTATCAGGTATTTGTATTGATGAAAAGTGTTTAGCTAAATCTAGCATCCTACTTTGTTCTTTGTCAATGCAATATAAAATGAGAATCCTTCTCAAGAATTTATATAAGGAGCACAATATTCATAGTATTCACTAAGTTTTAAAGATATATATGATGAAAGAAAGAAAGAAAGAAAGAAAGAAAAAACATTATTTGGAAAAGTGATTCTAGGAGACATGCTTTGCATTTTCAGATTTAGTTTCAAAGATATTTAATCTTTGTATTTTAGATAAATAGATTCAAAGATAGTTACAAAACTAAATTCACTTTTAGGTTGTCCCAACAAAATTTGATGAGAGCTATTACTAAATGACCAAACTGGTATTCGAGTTAAGTGATGAAGGTGTCATTCCGAGATTGTCAGATCAATAGAAAGTGATCGATAGATACATCAATGCCAAATCCATAACATAAAGAGTAGAAGAGGACTGAATTTGTTTGTTCATGGAATTCTACACTATAACCAGATGGAATGAACCAATATGATATTTGGATGAAGAAATCAGGGAGTTTGAAGAAAAGTGAGAGAGGAATTTGCTTGAAATATAGATAGCAAAGGAAAAATCAACTCAAGATGAATGGGTTAACACTGTGATAATCAAAAATAAATTGAAAAGTTTTGGCAGGAGACTAACTTAGTGGCATAGTATGCGTGGGAGCTGGGGTTACAGAATTTTCTGAAGATAAAATCATGTGAATTGCAAAATAGAATGAAAGATTAAATAGTTGAGATAACATGAGAATTCCCACCAGAGCAAAATTTGAGCCCTTCATATTTAAAAGAAACATTCCAATACTATCTTTATCAAGAATTACAATAATTGCAGTTGTATTTCTGGTAGTGTGATCATTGTGGAGCTTGGTTAAAGTTTGTTTCATTTTGGAAACTCTTTGACTGCAATTCCAATCCTTGTTTATGGAATGCAATTCCCACATAATATTATAGACCATATTTGTCCTGTTTCTAGAACTTTACCTGTCTAGTAACAGGAAACAATATCCTGTTGTGCTATTCATCAAGGGAAATCCTATGAAAGTGGAATTTTGGGGGAAGAGGAAGCACGCTAAAAGACAATGTAGAAATTAATTCCCACTTACTCATAAAGAATTTATGGGACCCATGTAAGTTCTGAAGATTGGAGCAAATATCTCTTGAACTTAGATCCTGGCATAGATGAAGATAAATTTATATTGCAGTAAGATGCTGCGCTCAAAGATAATAAATGATTAGTTCTCTGCTAAATTTACAAAATGCTTTGAAAAATCCCCATCATATTAAATCACAGTATTTTTTCTACTATGCACATAGATTACTGAACCAGCATAGTCAGAAGAGTAAAACCAGTTACTCTGATTTATCTTCTTTTTCAAAGGAAAATCACAGTGAAAAAAAGAGAATGTTAAAAAAAATCACAATAGCCAAGAATAACCTACTGCATTTTCTTCCATATAGCTTGGCAAATTAAATGTTTAGCATCTTAAATACTACTTCATGTGGTTAAAATCTTATACCAATTATTTGAAAGTCAGCAACAATGAGTTCAGCAGGCCTGCTTCCGAGGATACAGGCACATGACTGAAAAACAAATTTATATCAATAAAGCAGTTTAGGGTTGAAATGAGGGATCCTTGTGCTCTCTGAGTTTCCTTGTTTCCTTGCAAACATTTCATTACCCAAACTAGGTAACATAATCAGTCTAGCACTGAGGATGTTACCTAATTTTGGTTATGGAACGCCTGCAAGAAAAAAGCCAAGCTCAGAGAGCACCAAGGACCCCTCAAACAAATTTGTTTTTATCTGTCGTTATACCCTAATAATTATTGTTTGTATAATCCCCCTGCCTGCTCCCAACATTTCCAGTTTTCAATCTGGAAAGGCTTCCATTTAAAAATACACTATTATTTTTCTGGTTGTTCTGATACTCAACATAGACACTTTAGTTTACTGTTCTTTATAAAATGATCACTAATAAAATACTTTTGTCTTATGAGCTTGCTTCAAAACAACAGATCAAGTACAGTACAAACATATTTAAATAGTAGAAAAATAATTTCCCAAGTAAGCAAATAAAGGGCTTCAAATCAGCCTTTGTACTTCATTAAAAATCTTAAACTTCTCATGAGAAAAATTAACATTTAAACTACTGCTGCTTGGCCAAGCACTCCACCACACAAGAATATGAAATATCTCCTCTAAAAAAGTACAAAAAGGACAAAACCACAAATGTGGAACTTCAATTAATTTAAAGCCCCAATCAGCAAAGAATAAATCCTTCGCAGATCTAATTACCAGAGCTCTCGGAAGACCCAAGCAGACCAGCCAATCTTCCTCGTGTTTGAACAGCTTGATGAACTAGGGGACTGATGGATATCAAGTCATTTTGTTTAATTTATAAATGGATTTTCCCCTAATACTTAAATTATCATCAGTACAACACAATGAAAATGGGAACATTCAGAATGCAAAGTCTATAAGAGGCCTGGGAGGAATTCCAATGAGGAATGTCACCTCTGTTCATTCCTCTATACAATTGATCTAATTAAATACTGAGGGTGGAAAGGCAGTTTAAAATGTAGCCATTACTGTTTTCTTTTTAGCCTTAATTTATCTGTTCACATCTTTCAAGTACCTTCTGATGTTAAAAAATAAGAACTAAGAACTCTACAAGTCCCCAAGACTTTTCATTCTTCACAAGCTCATATTCATAAAGCTTATTCAGTGATTTTCCTGAATAATAAATAAATGCATTACTTTTAATTCCTGCAACAATAAAAGAAAATGAGATATGAAACCTGAGCTTTTTCAATAATTTGAAAGAGAATCTACATCGACTGGTACTTTCTGTATGTATTGTTCAACCAAAATTAGAGCTTTGCTATTATACTTATTAAAATGTCTCTTTAATTCCAAACCTCTTCCTTATTTAATTACTGCTTAGAACCGAAAGCTGCCCTGAATTGTTAAATACAATTAAACCTATTCATCGTCTTTTCACACCAGCAACATGAGCTCAATTATTTGGTTAAGGCCCACCAACCTACTCATTCTGATTGTAATTCCCACCTGGCTCAGGGGTCTCAGACTGAGAAGATGAAGATGCTGAGCTGGCTCCATCCTCGGCTGTTCCCTGCGAGAGAAGGCCTCGTCCTGGGGGAAGTTTCATGCCCAGCTGCTCAGCCATCTCCACGTGGTCACCAGGATGGACATAGTCAAACACACTGCTGCCTGTCAGTTCCACCTATGGGGTAAAAGCAGGGGACACGAGAACAGAAGACATTAATGTAAGTATTTCTTTTTTCATCTGGAATCTATTATAAATGCATCTCTTCCATCAGTTCTAAAAAGTTGGAAACTTGAGATTTATGTAATGAATATTAAAGCATCTCCTGCTCCGATATTGAAAATTGTATGTATCTTTTATGCAACACATATATCAACTGACAAATAAAAACCTCATTTTCATTAGATCATTTAGACACCGAAGCAAAATTCATTTGATTAGAATATGCAGTTTAGCTGCAACTCGCTTTCCAAACCCCTATCCTTAATTGACCCCAAAAATTGATTTGCATTAAAGAAAAGTCAGCTGGCACACAAGCTCACAGTTCAAGCCTACAAAAGTTTGTTTTTTTAAAAAAGATACAACTTTCCGAATATAATCCTGCATGAAATATGCATACCTTTTGAAATCAGCACAACCTTCACAGAATGCAGTGGCATGTTGCCAGGCTGTGTGCTACTGGAAGACCCCCACCTACAATTAAGCAAGCACTTTGCTTTTCCCTGATTATTTATTTACTATATTTGTAAATTGCTCCAATCTTATCACTCTGGGTGAAGTACAACATAGGAAAAACAAACCACAGACATGTAAAGAGTAAAACAATAATGAATAAAAAAGCAACACACACACACACACACACACACACACACACACACACACACAGAGAGAGAGAGAGAGAGAGAGAGAGAGAGACAGACAGACAGACAGACAGACAGACAGACAGACAGACAGACTTCAATTACACCAATCAGGTGATCTGGGAATGCAGCCTCCCCCTTCCCCCTAATGATATTGCTCTACGCAGAACTGGAACTTATCTAATGCTTTAATGATAAACGTACTTATGAAGTTCTGATCTAATAAATTATTCTGTCAATATTCTGATAAACCATAAAATAATTGCAGTATATAATGGCATTGCTGAAAGGTGTCAGGCACCCTTCAGTCACATGTAGAAATGGATAACAAGTTACATTTGAATACTTACCGTGTTTCTCCAAAAAGAAGGCCGGGTCTTATTTTCTTTTGACCCCCGAAAAAACGGCTAGGCCTTCTTTTTGGAGGATTCTAATTATTGACTCATCTCATGGCAGTGGCAACAACAACCCTGCCCAGCAGGAGCCCACTACTGGTCCACTTCTTCTGCGGCCACTTGCCACCACTTGCACGCATCGCCCCGACCTCCATTTTGCCTTCAGATGCCTGCCAAAAGGCATCTGAAGGCAAAATGGAGGCCAGGGCAATGTGTGCAAGTGGCGGAAAGCAGCCGTAGAAGGAGAGACAGGTGTCGGGATGTGCGAAGCCTGGTAAGTACGGCAGCTCCACCCCCATCCCCACCCTAGCTTATTTTTTACCTGTGTGCCTTGCCCCACCTCCTGCACCTTGGGTGGGTGGGGTCTTAATTAGGGCTAATTTTGTGGGTGGGCTTAATTTGATTGCATGCGCTCAAAAACATGATAGGGCTTCTTTTCAAGGTGGGTCATCTTTTTGGAGAAACACGGTAGTAAACAAAGTTGAAAAGTTATTAAATTAGAGAAAATAGCTACAAAAAACTATTCATTAGATAAAAATATTTAAAAATATAAAGATTAAAAGATTACAGTGCCTTAATATTTAGAGCAAATTACCCCCTTCAAAATAATGAGTGCATGAATGAATGAATGAATGAACGAACGAACGAACGAAAGAAAGAAAGAAAGAAAGAAAGAAAGAAAGAAAGAAAGAAAGAAATCTGAGTAAAATTCAAATGCTGTCATGTTAACTCATAAGTCCTGCTATATACCATAAGTATAATTTCAAGGTAAACATGGATATTTGGATTGCAACCTGACTTACAAATCACAACTTTTCACTTGTGTATTGTCTCTTTAATTATTCATTAAGACGAAATTCAAAGATTTGTGATAAATAACTATTACTCACAGTGTGTTAGGGTTGAATAAATCTTACGACTTGAGGGAGAACCCTCGTTTTACCATTTATTCCACTGATGATCTGATTTTCTATGAAATTTTGCCTTATAAAGATCTAGCTTATACTCAAATTTTACTCTAATGTGATAATTAACAACAACGAAGTATCACAGTGTTTTGTTTTGTAGGCTAATTTTTATGAATCCCTCTCTGGCTGTAGACATCAAGTAGGATTGGAGTATCTTTTAGAATGAGTTGGATCAGATAAGGCCTTTTCCTGAGTTGTTCTGGGACAAGCTTCTAAATGAGATAATGGGTAGTTCATCATAAATACACAAATCTTGCCTATGCCAGTATACTCTTTTCTAGTAATAGGAAACTGCTTTCTATTAGGTCAGTCTGATTTTCACTGAGCAATATTTTTTTCTGACTGGCAGTGGTTCTCAGACCAAAGCCTTTCTTATCCCCTGGTTTTTTCCCCTCAACATGGGTCAGAGATCAATTCTAACTTTCAGTGTGCAAAGCATGTACACTCCTATAGTCCCAGAAGGAGAGCAATGCTGCTATTAGGCATTATTCAACTTTAAATTTGTGTAGATAGTCTCATTGCAGAAGCAAGTAGCACAATTCACCTAGTGTGTATGTATTTGTGTGCATGAAGCCCAATAATAAAGGGAAATTGAGGCTGACATATTGTCTCAAGTGGTAATGAAGTGATAAACTCCCCAGAAGGTAGAAGGTAGTTATTAATCTGCAGCAGGGGGATCATTTTTTCAGAATACTCCCTAAGTAAAAACATTATTTGTAAGTATGAACAATCACAATAGAGAAAAGATTGGGTCTGACTCTACCATCTTGGTTTGCTAGATGCAGGCTTTTATGACCACTAACATTATTTCTCATTTTATTTTCAAATTAAATTAAATTAAAATTAAAATTAAAAATTAAATAAAAATTAAAACAACAATGCAATAGCTACTAAGAGCTAAGGCTTGTTGATTTAACAACAAAGAATTATTACCTAAATTGTCTGTGGCTTTCTAGGGGTCTTGTTGTATTTTTGTTCTAAAATTCTCCCAATGCTGAATGAGAACAAGTGTGCCTCTAATCTAGCAACCAATCAGACTTGTTTTACCCACAAAGTAATTCTTTTAATTGGTAATGAATCCAATGCACCATCCAAATCAAGGCAGCATAAAAAAAAAAAAACCTGTAACAAGCAATTAAAATTATTTATTTATTTATTCAATTTCTTTAGCTGCCCATCTCAATCAATTCCAAAAGTATAAAATAATTAAAACAATAAAACATTTTAAAAACAATAAAAATAATACTAATTTAAGGATACCAAAGCTCCATAAATATAACTAGCTCCTTAAAGTACAATTAGACAGAGTAAAGATTTTAAAAGCAATAAGCAGGCCGTATCAGATAGCTACCAATCAAATGCCAATCAAAACTATTCTGGTTTTTGTATTCTGCCCTAACTAAAGATTCAGAATAAACTTCAGAAACATGAAGCGCATGTGTCTTTTATTGTATATTATATACAGTATTTTATTGTATATTGTATATTATAAAGAATTTATATTCCTTCCTTCCTCTCTTCCTTCCCCTCCTTTTCTTCCTTCCTCTCTTCCTTTTCTATAACTGCCCATCTCAGAAAATGACTCTTACAAGTGAAGAAAATATATTACAATTAAAATACTAATAGCATTTTAAAGCAATAAGAACAGTAAAAGCATCCAATTAAATATACATAGCACATATTACCAGAGCACAGACAGTTGGTTGCTCCTCAAACTTGCTCTGCAACAGACAATGAGGGATACCGACAGTCTTGCCATTGGTGTGCTGGTAAGCATATAACAACCTGCTCTGCTGTTCCTTGCTGCAAGCCACCAGTCAATCAGCATACTAAATGTCACACCTCAGCTCTGCTCAACTGGCTTGCAAATCTCCACAAAATTTAATAATCACATCTTGTAAACTGCCTCTAGCACACCACTGTAAATTACTGTATCTTTGATTGGGAATATATACCAGCGGTGTCAAACTCATGTCGTCATGGCAGCATCACATGACGTGACTTTTTTCCTCCTTTGCTAAACTGGGTGTGGGCGTGGCCAGCGCATGACACATCCAGCCTGCGAGCCGCGAGTTTGAAAATCCTGACATATACTGATAGAGATTCTGCACAAATGATTTGACTCTTTTTATATAATCAGGTCTTGAGTATTCTGATCACATGCAGGACAAATTTTTGAAGCAGATTTTTGGGCTTCCATTCATTAAAATTAGGGTGAAGGCTTCCAAGTGCAATAGGACTGGCTAAATCTGAGGAACAGCTAACCACAAAGTGACCAGATGTTATAAAGTGAGGAAACAGACAAATTATAATGCAGTATTTTCCTAATAAGAATCTACATCCAGAGGAAAAGGCTATTACCAGCAAAAAAGACCTAGAAGCTAATGTTCAGCAAAACAAGAGCTTTGAGCATAAAGCATATTTTCAACAATTTCTCTTGACTCCACAGAGTCCCCAAGGCATTTGCTAAAAATGAAATGCAGTCATAGTGTCTGCAGCTTAGTACTTTGCGTGTCTTCTGGTCCATGGGTCTTATTATTAGATCTACACAACATGGCCATCATTTGATAGGGATACCCATAACATGCTGCCCCAATGGCCATCTGATGCATACTTACTTGCCATAGAAAACATTATTATGGTTCTTACACATTTTCTCTTTATTGTTTGTCAAAATTTTGCTTGATGCGATTTATACTTTGTAATATTACATTGTTTAAAAATATTATAAACCAGCATGAAAATCTGAATAGAAACATGGGATAAAAAAAGTTCAAATATATGGGTAAATATATGTGATTTGCGATAGTCTCCAGAATAGTCTCCAAATTAAAAGTCATTTATAGAATAAGTACTTTGACAGCTCAAGGGGCATGGGAATATGGTTTTGACTTGTTGCAAATCCTTATGGCATATAACTGTACTGCAGCCAGTATGGCAGTAGGCTTCATAGTTGACCAGTGTTAATAATACAGACTTAGCATACCCAGTTGACCA